CAGGATAAGAAGAAATGGCCTCAAGTTGTGCCAGGAGAGATCCAGGCTGGACATCAGGAAGAATTTTTTCTCAGAGTGGTTAATCATTGGATTGGACTGCCCAAGGGAGGTGATGGATTAGCACTGTGGTTTAGTTGACAAGGTTATCATCAGTCAAAGTTTGTACTTGATGATCTTAGAGGTCTTTTCCAACCTAAATGATTCCGTGTCTCTGTGATTCTAAGGAAAATATTATGAAAATCGCAAATGTGTTCTCATTTTTTATCTATTTTCATATTTTTGTCTTAGTGCTAATGAGCAAAATTCACAAAACTGAGTTCAGTCTGGACAGAAAATACATGGTCTTTCATTTCCATTATTTACAGTGTGTTAGTTTATTGGTAATTATTCATGATTTTTATTTATTTGTTATTAATTATGCATTTCTCATCAGACATTATATGCTGGAGTTTTGATATTATTTTTATTCACAAATGCTGTTTTTCTGAAGCTCATACAGCCTTGGAAGATTAAAATAACAAAAACAACTTCATCATAGTGCATTGCATTGTCCTATCTGCCTTTGTTGAGAAAATGTTGGTTGCAAAGCTGCTAAAAGAAAGCATTTGAACTAATCCCTCTTAGGCATTAGTTGCACATATCACATATATCACATATGTGGTTCGTATCATTTCACTTATTCCATTATATGGCTCTTTATAATAATCTTTTTTTATAGTACTGGTGAACCTATAAGTACTTAATTTTACTTTAATAGAAAAGATTGTTGTCAGGGGATCAATGTCCCCCCACAGAGAAAGTAAACATCTGTTTTGCAAAGCATTTCTAAACCAGCAGGAGATTGTTATCCTGTGACAACATTTTGTTACAATTACTTTATTGCAGTCAGGCAAAATGAATGATGTGTAGCAAATTTATTCTTTTTTTAACGTTCTGCCAAACCTTCCTGTTCTTTATCCAATGACTTCCATCTGGAGCAGTGCCTGGAAGGATGGCCGGGGCGTTCTGCCATTTGTCATTAATGATCTGTTGAATTACAGCTGGCTTAAAGAACAATTCAATTCTATATTTCAGCTACTCAGAAATAGAGTTTATGAGCAAGGTGCAGCGAGTTCACATTGGTCTAAGCTGTTCTTTTAGTCATCAGGTTATGTTCAAGTCCAGTGTATTACTGAAGCAGTAATGAATTTGTTTTACACTGCAGGATGAGATATTGTGTAATGAAAGCAGAAGAATC